CTCTGGTGGGGGTGCTCCCGACTGCCTTGGCTGGTCCTTCAGAGAGAAGGACGACGAAGCGTCCCTGCCTGGGTGGGGGGCTGCTCCAGAGTGCCTTGGAGGGGCTGGTCCTTCACAGAGAAGGACGACGAAGCATCCCTGCCTGAGTGGGGCCGCCGGGTTCTTAATTTTCGGCTCCGGGTCCTAATTTTTAAGCTCCGGGCCCTTAATTTTAAGCTCCGGGCCCTTAAATTTCGGCTGCGGGTCCTTAATATTAAGTTTTGGTCCTTATTTTAAGCTCCGGGCCCTTAATTTTAGGCTCCGGGTCCTTAATTTTAGTTTCCGGCCTTAATTTTAAGGCTTTAAAGGAGGGACGCATCGTTCCAGGACCAAGGTTTGGGGTTACTTATTCTAGGGATAGCTAGCTCGCTATCCAGCGGCCTTTGCGAAGCCGCGCAGCCTTATCGGCTGGGACCTGCGGCTCGCCTTCCGGCCTTCGCCTACGGTCCGCAGGCGCCTTCCGGTCCGCCTGCTGCGGCCGGCCCCTTAGCCTGAAGTGGGGCCGGCCTCAGTTTAGGGTTTAGGGTTTAGGGTTTAGGGTTTAGGGTTTAGGGTTTAGGGTTTAGGGTTTAGGGTTTAGGGTTTAGGGTTTAGGGTTTAGGGTTTAGGGTTTAGGGTTCAGCAGCTCTGACTTTGAACATTTCATGTCAGGCTATTTCTCGTCAAGCTATCTTCCAGAAGAAACCCCACCCGCCCACAGAATCCCATTACATTAGATTTACGAGTTTTATTTCTTTTGGCTTGAATCTTTAAAAGATCACTTACATACAACTATTACAGATCATAACTTTTCATTCTTTCGATCAAGCAGGTGCTGTTTCTTTACAGTCGTTCTTGCCACACGCTTCACTTTAAGAAATTATTTCTGCGGACCAGCTTTCTAAGAGAGCTAGTTAAGAAACGCAACATCGCCCTAACCCGCCGAAGCTGCGGTCACGCCATCGCTTTACGATAGCAACCATAGCTGTCCAGTGTCATGACTTGAATCTCCTCACCTAGAACAGCTATCGAATTCGATTTCATGTCTTTCAATGTTTCCACATCGGACTGTGTCCACTGCCTGACAACATTGCCTCCAACAGTTTAAGCTGCGGTCACGCCATCGCTTTACGATAGCAATCATGCCTTTTTTAACTGCCCAGTTGAAGGCCAGCACGAGAATGTTGTTGTTCGGCCTGCCTCGACAGCATTCTGTCCGCAGGGTGAATTTGGTGGTGCATCGGGGATAAGCTTAGGGTGGCGTTAGAGGATAGAGCCTAGTGTTGCGGTTTTCCAATGTCATGACTTGAATCTCCTCACCTAGAACAGCTACCGAATTCGATTTCATGTCTTTCAATGTTTCCACATCGGACTGTGTCCACTGCCTGACAACATTGCCTCCAACAGTTGAAGCTGCGGTCACGCCATCGTTTTACGATAGCAGCCACCGCTATCATATCAAGTTTCTTTGCGATGACCGTTCAGCTGAAACCCTTCACCGCCAGGCCTCCAAAAACCTTTTCGCGCGCGCGCGCGCGTTGTTGGGGGGTCAGAGGCAGCAAAGCCGGGCTTCGCCTCCGGGGGTCAGGGCCTTGCCTTCCTGCTCCAGGCCGCTGCTTACATCTGCGGCATCTCGCAAAAACGCTTTTTTTTTGAAAATTGCAAGAATTTTCAAAGGCTTCCACGATGACTGCTTTCGACGACAAAGAAGCTTCGTGTGCTACACATCATGACATGTGTACAACATCGATCCAAATCGCTTCTTAATCGACGTCAACTAAAGAACTTTACATCATTTGAAGTTCTTCGACGGCTTACATACGTTCCGAAACGAAGTCACAGCCATCCAAGCCACAACCACGCAGAATCAAAACGACGCCCTTCGCAGAATCAAGGCGACACCCTTCAGCGGAGCACTGTGTCACACCCCGCGGGCCCTCGACCGGACGAGCCTACGTCATTTGAGCTCCTCTGTCTGTTTGCGCCCTTCCCGAAGATACCCTTTCAAACCAAAAATTTGGTGTTTCAAAGGGCCCGCGGGGCCAACGCAGAATCAACCCTACAACAGTTCACGCGGACCCTGCAATCAAAAGGGTAAGCTCGGGAGTGGGTTTGCGGACATAGTTTGACCTCCCCTGTCCATCTATGGCCCTCCCGCGGCTCCCCTTGAACACCAGTTTCCGCATGAAGGGTCGCAGAATGCAGAATCACATTCGCACACCCTTCCTGCGGTAAAGGTTCTTCAAGGGGAGCCGCGGGAGGGCCATAGATGGACAGGGTAGGTCAAACTATGTCCGCAAACCCACTCCTGAGCTTACTCTTTTGATTGCAGGGTCCGCGTGAACTGTTGTAGGGTTGATTCTGCGTTCTGCGACCCTTCATGCGGAAACTGTTCTTCAAGGGGAGCCGCGGGAGGGCCATAGATGGACAGGGGAGGTCAAACTATGTCCGCAAACCCACTCCCGAGCTTACCCTTTTGATTGCAGGGTCCGCGTGAACTGCTGTAGGGTTGATTCTGCGTTGCCCGCGCGGGCGCCCTCAAACACAAAATTTTGGTATCTTCCAGCGGGCTTCGGGAGGGCCGCAAACAGACAGAGGAGCTCAAATGAGGTAGGCTCGTCCGGTCGAGGCCCCGCGGGGTGTGACACAGTGCTCCGCTGAAGGGTGTCGCCTTGATTCTGCGAAGGGCGTCGTTTTGATTCTGTGTGGTTGTTGCTTGGATGGCTGTGACTTCGTTTCGGAACGTATGTAAGTTGGTGAAGAACTTCAAATGATGTAGAGTTCTTCACTTCAAGGCCGTTAATGATCGATGTAGTTGCATATCCAGCTATGTTTGCATTGAGTATTTGTTTCGCTGGAGTTCGCATCTCGCTTAGGGATGTGACTAGTTGCTTTGCAGAGAAAGATGTGTGAGCACCACAAGTTTACTTTGTCGTTGAAAGCAGTCATCGTGGAAGCCTTTGAAAATTCTTGCAATTTTCAAAAAAAAAGCGTTTTGCGACATGCCGCAGACGAGCCTGGCGACATGTAAGCAGCGGCCTGGCGAGAGGCCCCCGGAGGCGAAGTCTTTGGATCCCACCAACGCGCGCGCGCGCGCGCGCGCGAAAAGGTCTTTGGAGGCCTGCCGGTGAAGGGTTTCAGCTGAACGGTCATCGCAAAGAAACTTGATATGATAGCGGTGGTTGCTATCATAAAACGATGGCGTGACCGCAGCTGCAGGTCTTTCTTGCAGTACCTTTCATTAAAACTCGCGGACAAGCACTGACCGCAAGAAACATGTTCTAGGCTTGAATAAGCTAGAGATGTGGCTCTATGAAGCAAGCCCTGGTTCAAGTTCCTGGCGGTGAAGGGTTTCAGCTGAACGATCATCGCAAAGAAACTTGATATGATAGCGGTGGTTGCTATCATAAAACGATGGCGTGACCGCAGCTGCAGGTCTTTCTTGCAGTACCTTTCATTAAAACTCGCGGACAAGCACTGACCGCAAGAGACATGTTCTAGGCTTGAATAAGCTAGAGATGTGGCTCTATGAGAGCAAGCCCTGGTTCAAATTTTGACAACTGCTTTAACTCTCGAAGTCGTGATTACCTTATTGTGGTAAGGTGTTTGCTTGAATGAGTCAGTCAACAACATTGCCGCAGCTCAAAGACGCACAAAGAAAGGAGCTAGCAAGCAAAGAACAAGAAAGTTGTAAACCAAAACGCTGGAACTTTGACAAGCTAGCAAAGGCATGCATGCCATGCATTTTTTATTTCTGTTCGCGGTGTTACTTTCAGCCTCACTGGTGCTTGCACAAACCATGTTTTGTAGTTGTTTCGGCTGAAAGTGTTGACTCTTTCTTCATATCCATCGACGGCATGCCGTTCTCTCAGCATTTGCGAGCTGCTGCCTCGGTCATCGACCTTTGCGACGAGCCGACGACCCCGAAGCCGCCGACCAAGGAGGCGCCGGAGCCGACGATCAAGAAGCCTTCGGTGAGGCACACCGTGAAGAAGCCGCCGGCTGAGCGCAAAGTCAAGACCGAACCCAAGACAACCGGAGCAGTGGAGGTGGCACCGAAGAAGCGACCTGCTTCGCGCATGTCCGCAAGAGGCTTGGGTCTAACCCACCAGTGGGCAGCACATGCGGGCAACGGCTCTTGCTGCGGCCGCGGCAGCCAGCCTTGTGTTTTCGGTGAGTTCTCGTCGCCTGCACCCGCTGCACCCAACGGTGCCTGCGATCTGTGCGACGTTGGAATGATGGCCACACTTCACGAGTCCATGTCGAGTCGATTGACGCACTTGCTCGGCAAGCTCGATGCAGGTGTCGCTGAACATGCTTTTGGATACATTCGAGATACTTTGGGATCTACGGCAGAGGCGGACTATCGCTTCAAAGTGCAGCGATCTCGGCAGCGCAAAAACCCGGCACGACCTCGCCGAGCAACTCGAGGACCCTACAAGAAGAAGAGCACGGAGAAGTCCGATGCAGAGGACTGACCCTGCCTGCACAGTTCGGAAATCTAGAATGATATCCTCCTGAGCGTGCTTAGCAAGGCCGAGGTCAAGTGCATCTGGCTTGTTTGAATCCTAAACTTTTCTCAGGTTTGGCATCTTAACAGATTGCAGCTTCCCCACGGCAAGGGAGCAGAGGGGTGATGTTTCAAGCGATCTTTGCAGTGTGTTGCAATGTACACTGCTGCCACGCCGAGGGTTGGAGACTCTCCGGTGTTGAGTTAACATGCAAGCATACGCAGGCATCTGTGACAGAAAATTAACTTTGCAAGTGTTGCATGCATGTCGTGACCTTGTTGTTTTGCACTCGCTTGAAGAAACTGTTGCAGCTCTTTACCCAAGTCGTGTGCTAGTTGCTCTCCTGCCAGTCCTTCTCGCTTTAACATGGCAAGCGGACTTTTCGAACAAGTTGACAATGAGCCCGTCGAGCAAGACAAGAAGAAGGAGCGCCGAGTCAAGTTGTTCAGTTACGACTCCGTGGCAGCCCAAATGTTGGAACCCTACGGAGAGAACGGATTGGATTCTCTCACTCTTCAGCAGGTGTGGGCGGGCACCTCCAAAGGAAACAAGAGCTGTGTCTACCACTCTCACTTGGCAGCCGATCAATCTTCCGACGCCTGGCATGTAGGCGCGGGCATCAGCATGACCGCGGCCGCGCTCCTGGCCGCCATCGATAATTTCAAGAGCCCGAACATGAAAAATCTTATCGTCCCGAAGTTGTATGATAAGGTGCTGCTGGAGATTACAACCCTGGAACCGACTTTGTTGGCGCTGAACTTCGGCAAGGGCTCAGCCACTGCAACGGATACAGGTTCGTTTCGTGCAGCAAAAAAGGCCAAGCTGACCTCGTCGGTCAACACCGCGGATGCAATCGCTTCAACGGTGGACCCGGCAGAGGCAGCAGTCAAGTTTCGCAAATGGTTGCTGCAGGAGAAGAGCGCATTTCGAGGCTTTCTCTTCGTGCTGTCTGGCAAGAACAGCTACTACACCGGTCAGGTCGCCGAGCTGGTGGCGCGCTCAGCCGTCACTTGCAAGCCGATGTCGGAAGAAGACTTTGTGAATGCAGTCAAAGCCCGAATGCAAAAGCCAGAGGAAGGGCTTGGCAGCAAAGTTGCTGGCTCAAGTGCATCTGGCTTGTTTGATTCCTAAACTTTTCTCAGGTTTGGCATCTTAACAGATTGCAGCTTCCCCACGGCAAGGGAGCAGAGGGGTGATGTTTCAAGCGATCTTTGCAGTGTGTTGCAATGTACACTGCTGCCACGCCGAGGGTTGGAGACTCTCCGGTGTTGAGTTAACATGCAAGCATACGCAGGCATCTGTGACAGAAAATTAACTTTGCAAGTGTTGCATGCATGTCGTGACCTTGTTGTTTCGCACTCGCTTGAAGAAACTGTTGCAGCTCTTTACCCAAGTCGTGTGCTAGTTGCTCTCCTGCCAGTCCTTCTCGCTTTAACATGGCAAGCGGACTTTTCGAACAAGTTGACAATGAGCCCGTCGAGCAAGACAAGAAGAAGGAGCGCCGAGTCAAGTTGTTCAGTTACGACTCCGTGGCAGCCCAAATGTTGGAACCCTACGGAGAGAACGGATTGGATTCTCTCACTCTTCAGCAGGTGTGGGCGGGCACCTCCAAAGGAAACAAGAGCTGTGTCTACCACTCTCACTTGGCAGCCGATCAATCTTCAGACGCCTGGCATGTAGGCGCGGGCATCAGCATGACCGCGGCCGCGCTCCTGGCCGCCATCGATAATTTCAAGAGCCCGAACATGAAAAATCTTATCGTCCCGAAGTTGTATGATAAGGTGCTGATGGAGATTACAACCCTGGAACCCATCTTGGTGGCCCTCAACTTCGGCAAGGGCTCAGCCAGTGCAACGGACACAGGTTCATTTCGGGCAGCAAAAAAAGCCAAGTTGACAACCTCCGCCAACGTCGTGAGTGCCACAGGCTCCACGGTCGATCCGGCAGACGCGGCAGTGAAGTTTCGCAACTGGTTGCTTCAGGAGAAGAGTGCGTTCAGAGGCTTTCTCTTTGTTTTGTCTGGTAAGAACAGTTACTACTCCGGTCAAGTGGCAGAGTTGGTGGCTCGCTCAGCCGTGACTTGCAAGCCGATGTCGGAGCAAGACTTTGTGAATGCAGTGAAAGCCCGAATGCAAAAGCCAGAGGAAGGGCTTGGCAGCAAGGTTGCCGGTTCGACTCCCTCGGGTTTGTTTGATGCCTGATCATCGATTGCCAAGCGCAATCAATTCGAGGGGTGCCGTTCGCAGTGTGTGTAAGCCATGAGCTGTAGTTTGCGTACAGTACTGTGAAAACACAATAGTCGACCCTGTGCAGCTCACCAGCAACACCCGCAAGCTTTTGTTTCTCCGAGTCGAGATACCACCAGACGGTAGGTGCTGAAGTGGCTTCTCGTTCGGCTCCCGAAAGTGTTGCCGTCATCCAGTCGAAACAAGGATGCCATCGCATGTTGCTTTGAAATGCTTTGTTAGTGTGCCTGCTGCAACATTGCCACAACGTAAATTGCAGCTTTTGGTTCTCTCCTATTGCTAGATTCACTCGCCGACCTTGCTAGATTCGCTCGCCGACCATGACCTTTGCGAACACAGGCAACTCGTGCTTCGTCAATGCCGGACTTCAGGCGATCCTGGCGTTGCCAGGCTTCGACAGCTTGAGGTCGACTACGGCGACGGAACAAGCCTTGCTGGAGGTTCGTTCTATGGTGTCAGCATCGCTTTCGGCGACCGTGCCCCAGCCAATTTTGGATTTGTATTATCGAGGACACCAGGAAGATGCTGCGGAGTTCATCGCTAACCTTCTCTTGGATTGCCCTACGATTCATAGCCAACTGCAAGGAACAGAAGGCGGTTGTCTCGCATGCACCACATGCGAATATCGCCGTCCACTCCCAGCGGAGCCTTTCTTGACTCTGCAGATTGCCTTGGTTCACAATGCTGAGCGACTTCGGTCGGTTCAGTCTGCTGTGGACACCTACTTGAATCAACAAGTGTTGCAAGAAGATATTCTGCACTGGGAATGCACAAGTTCCAGTTGCACCAGAGCAGGCACTTCTCGCAGGCCGCCACTACGCCTCACCGCGGTTCATGCATGGCCAGACAACCTCATCATCGTGCTCAAGCGCTGGGATGGCGTGCATGGTCTTCTCAATCACGAAGTTCTTGCTGACGAAAGGCTTCGAGTTGCAGAAAATGTTTGCTATCGCCTTAGGGCAGTGGTGTCTCACATCGGCGAAACGGCGGCTACTGGCCACTATGTGGCCTATCGGCCTCATGGAGATCGTTTTCAGCGGTTGGACGACGCTACAATCTCGGAGGTCGCTACGAACCCTGGACAAGGGACAGCTTCCACAGGGGAGAAAGTTTACATCGTTTGCTACACTCGTGCTGAGCATGATGGTGACGTTGGGCGAGCTCTTCCTGTTAAACGACCTATCCTCGATTTGACCTCATCCCAGGATTCGGACAGTGATGTGATCGTCGCAGCAGAGCAGCCTGCAAAGTCATCTAAAAATGAGAACGCTCCTCAGCAGCCACACGTAAAGAAAGCCAAGTGTACACCAAGCTTCGAGCACGAGGAACTCAAAAGAACACCGTTGGGCAACTTCAGCAACTACCTGCAGAAGGATCGCGAAATCATTGTGCATGCTTTGAAGAACAGTGAGTCCTTTGCCGAGGCTCTAGGCGAGATCCGAGCTAATGTCGAAAATTTCACGCTGACCTCCAACTCCAAGTACCGTCTTCATCGCAACACATTGCTCAACTGGTTTCGGCGACCGGAACTTGCTGAGAGAGCTCAACGACTGGTGCAGACCTCTGCTCCTCAACACAGCTTCTCTCGGAAACCATCCTGGAAAAGTGCTCTGGGCAATTTGCCGGCCTCGCCCCGACAGCAAGTTTTTCAAGCCTTGTCTTCAGGAAGTGGTACGAACGTGCTCCGTGTGCTCCAAGACGGCGACCAGGCATTGGCCGGTGCCGTGCCCGCTCCAACTTTGCGGCGATGGCTGCGCAGCTCGGGGCCTTCCGTTCAACAAGACGAGCTTCCTGTCTTGCACCAGACTTGGAGCGAGGAATATCAACGCAACTTCGGGGTCTTGACACAAGTCCAGGCCATGAGAAGCAGCCAAGTTGGCGATAACATCAGTGCCAGCGGCTTGTGGCTGATGGAAGGTTCGTGGACTTTTTGTCCCAGCTGCGGTCGCAAGCGAGCCCGCACGAAGACGCAGCGATGGTCCATCTCAGACTTGCGTCATGCTCAAGCTTGCTCGCCTTGCTGCGACCCGCCTGCAGTTGACTTGCTCGCGCCGGCCCCTGCCAACATCCTCCCGACGAAGTTGACGGTGTACACAACTCCACAAAAAAGCACATGGCATTCTTGGTCCGCTGCCATTGCTTCAGGAGACTTGCCATTGACGGTGGTGCTGTCCGAGACTGACCTGAACAATTTGGCTGTGCTCACAATTCACGTTGACTTCCGCAGCCGCAGAGGAGGGAAAGCCGAGGTTACCAGTAAACAGAAACGGTCTCTCACTCGCTGTCGTTGGAAAGGCCAACCTCTTCGAAGTGTTCCTCGCAGTGATGTCGCTGCTCGTGCATTCGCTTGGCTGCTGCAAAGCAACAACACCTACCGCCAGTGGGTTGATCGACATGAAGGTCTTTTTCAAGAACTCGGCGGAGATGTTTTAGCCAAGACGGAGATCCAGACAGCAGAATTGTTGCTGAGCTCGCCGGCCGTCGAGGTGGCGGCCCGGCCTTGGCTATACCCCCTAGCGAGTCTCGCTGACACGGATTATCAGGAGCGCTTGGTTAGCTTGGGGTGGACGACTGCCAGGAACAAGCCCAGCATCAGAACGGGCTTTTTACGAAAATTGGAGAGTCGCTGCGTCGACTATGCCAGGGATTTTCCACTGCAATGTCTCCTTTACGACATCTGCATGGCCAAGACCATCTCTTCCGTGCAGGCCATTGCTGAAAAGCAGAAGGTAGCACCGGAGCAGATCGCGTCCGACATGGACGGTTTCGATGTTTACTGGCAGCAGCAGTTACGGAAGATGGAAGACATCTGCCGCCAAGAATTCGAGAAGAGCACCTCAATGGAAACCGCCTTGCCGTCAATCTTCTTCACTGTGGCGCCGGCGGAGTGGCTCTTCCCTTTGCACAACGGCATGTTTCACGAAGGGTCCTTGACTGAGCAGCAACAGAACATGACCCTGCACCTCTACCACACTCTCCAGGTCATGCTCGAGCATCATTTCCTGAAGGATGGTGCAAGCTTGGAACGAGTTGGCATTTTGAGAATACGGCAGTGGTCCTTCCGGTTTGAGTTTCAATCCCGAGGAACTCTTCATCTACACGCTGTGCTCTGGGCGGACTTGCTACCTGGCTGGCAAGCATCCGATTTGTGCGGCCGCAGCGGAACAACGCAAAGCTCCGCCTTCTTGCAGTTGTTGGAAGAACTCTTCCACAGCAGAGCGGATGTCCAGTGCGGGGACGGCACACACAACCTGCTACAGTATGTTGCAGGTTACGTGGCCAAAGCCTCTGACGCATTATCTTTTTGCCATCAACAGGCCAAGCGGGATGGCACGACCGAGGAAACAAGCAAGTGGAGGCAAACCTATCGGCTGCTTTGCAAACGCTCTCCCATGGAACAAGAAATTACAATGGAGTTCGCTGGGTTGCCGATGGTGCGACATTCCTTTTCCGGCCATGCCATCTTTGCGCCAATCCCCGGCAGCAAGGCAAAGAACACCTCGCGAGATCACTACTCTTTGTATCAATTCTTCCTGCACCAGCCTCCTGCAGAGCTTGGCTGTGCCACAGGCATGTGCTTCATGCAGTGGCTTCGGCAGTACAGAGTGGTAGACGTTGACAAGAAAGTGGTGGCTCGACGAAATGTCGCCGGTCCTATGAAGAATCAGCAATGTGGCGTCGCCATGACCTTCCCATTTGAGTTGCTGGACATCTTCGTCTGTGCCTGGGCGGCCACGTTCCTCCCAGACATGCTGGAGTATCGATTGAATCCGGAAGTCGAGGACGACAACGAGCGGTACTCCACATCATTCGCTGCTGAAAAAGCTCGCAGAGCTTCCTTCATGGCTCCGGATGGTTGTAAGCACTTGAAAGCTGTCTTGTGCCTCGACGAATTCCAGCTCTACCGCAAGGATCCCATGGTCTTCCATCCCAATGTCGGCGACCTTCTCGTCAGGATGGAAACGGACTTGAGACTACGAGGCTTATCTGCAGACAGAATCGCTACCTTCAACGCTCGCATTCGTGCTTCCGCCCTCCTTCTTTGTGCAATTCGAGATGGTCGCGAGGATGCCAACTTGTGGACGGCACGCTCAGTCTCAGCACCACCCCAAAGAGTGTGGTCCAAGGAGCAGCAAGCTGTCCTCGACCACATCCAGCGGGGAACCACCATCAGCGATGCCGCCGACATGGAGAAGGCGCCGCGTGTGCTGCAGGTTGCCGGCGGGCCCGGCACCGGCAAGACCGAAGTGGTCATTGCTGCGGTCCGGCGAGCGTTGGATGACGGGTGTCGAGTGCTGATCGCTGGTCCCATTGGGTTGTTAGTGTCAATGTACAGACTCAAACTCCCGAACATGCAGAACCTGACCATGGAAACAGTGCACTCCGCCTTCCGCATCACCAGAGACGCGGATGCCGCCTACATACCTCCGGGCCGCCTTCGCCACTTTGACCTTATTGTCATTGACGAAGTGAGCCAGATTGAGGCAGCGGTTTGGCGGAAGTTGCAGACGGCCTTGGGCGAGCTCGTCCCTTGCCCATTTCTCGTGTTTGTTGGAGATTTCCAGCAACTGCAACCGCTTCGAGGCAACCCCGAGCTCCAAGCGGCCCTCGAACAGCAGCGTGCACACAACAAAATTCTGTACGTCAAGCTGGAACACCACGAAGCTGCTCGCTCTGTGGATCCGGCCATGCTGGATTTCTTGGAAGCAGCAAGAGTGCAACAACCTGCCCGAGATGCTTTGCTACAATTCTTTCGTGGCAGAACAATTCCCGCGGATGTTAACACCGCGGCTCGCCATGCTGCTGGGGTGGAAACTCGCACAGGAGGTTGCTTCACCTTCCTCACCGTCACCAACCAAGGAGCCGCGGCCCTCAACCTAGGTCGATTGGCGATCCAGTTTCCGGACGCAGCAGCAATCCTGCGAGATGGTGGCGGCATTCCGGCAGAGATTGGCCGAGTTGTCGTAGACACAGGCATGCGGATGCGCTTAACCCAGAACATTGACAAAGACAGGGGCTTTGTGAATGGGAATACCGGCACCGTTCGAGCCATGCTGAGGTCCGATGTCTTTCTTCTGCAGTCCGACCAAGGACTACCGATTCTGGTGCACCCTGTGACACAGCAAGGACGTAAGTTCCTGCCAGTCTCGTATGGTTGGGCGACAACCATAAGACGCGCCCAGGGAGCAACTTTGGACAAGGTTGGGTTGTGGTTTGATCGACGGCTTCCTGACCGAGGCTACGGCTACGTTGGTTTATCCCGAGCCAAACGTCGACAAGACGTTTTTCTCCTCGGCCGTGTTCGCCGCACCGATTGGCGAGCAGTTAACGGCGAGAACGATAACTCGGAGCAGAACCAGGTGTCTGTGTTCAGCGAGAGCACCCACAGCAGCGAAGAGATGGACATCATCGAATCGAGCACTGAAACACAGTCACCACGTGGCAGCTCACCAACCGGATCGACTTCAGAAGAGCCGAGCTTCGAGCCATCGACCAACGAGGACTCCTCCGTCGACCCATATCGTTTGATGGGCAGCCAAAGTGATTGGGATTTGTCTACCAGCAGCTAGCACTAAAAGCCTATGCGTCATGTCAAGGGTCACTGCACTGGTCGCAAATAGTTATGCTCTTCGCATCAACTAGCTAACTTCGGACTGCGTCCCATCAGTGACGAATGCAAAACCATAGGAAGAGCTGCAAGCCAGAGGAAGAGCTTGGCAGCAAAGTTGCTGGCTCAAGTGCATCTTGCTTGTTTGATTCCTAAACCTTTCTCAGGTTTGGCATCTTAACAGATTGCAGCTTCCCCACGGCAAGGGAGCAGAGGGGTGATGTTTCAAGCGATCTTTACAGTGTGTTGCAATGTACAATGCTGCCACGCCGAGGGTTGGAGACTCTCCGGTGTTGAGTTAACATGCAAGCATACGCAGGCATCTGTGACAAAAAACTAACTTTGCAAGTGTTGCATGCATGTCGTGACCTTGTTGTTTCGCACTCGCTTGAAGAAACTGTTGCAGCTCTTTACCCAAGTCGTGTGCTAGTTGCTCTCCTGCCAGTCCTTCTCGCTTTAACAAAGCGGACTTTTCGAACAAGTTGACAATGAGCCCGTCGAGCAAGACAAGAAGAAGGAGCGCAGAGTCAAGTTGTTCAGTTACGACTCCGTGGCAGCCCAAATGTTGGAACCGTACGGAGAGAACAATTCTCTCAATCTTCAGCAGGTGCGGGCGGGCACCTCCAAAGGAAACAAGAGCTGTGTCTACCACTCTCACTTGGCAGCCGATCAATCTTCAGACGCCTGGCATGTAGGCGCAGGCATCAGCCTGACCGCGGCCGCGCACCTGGCCGCGATCGATAATTTCCAGCCTATCCCCACCCCACCCTTGTACAACTTTCTCATGCTACAAGTATTGACAATCCCCACCCCACCCTTGTACAACTTGATCATGCAACACGCAATGAATCACGCCACCGTAAACCCTAGTGCCCAAGCCCAAACCCCTAGGCCCTAAACCCTAGTGCCCAAACCCTAGTGCCCAAACCCTAGGCCCTAAACCCTAGTGCCCAAACCCTAGGCCCTAAACCCTAGTGCCCAAACCCTAGGCCCTAAACCTTAGTGCCAAACCCTAGGCCCTAAACCCTAGTGCCCAAACCCCAGGCCCTAAACCCTAGTGCCCAAACCCTAGGCCCTAAACCCTAGTGACCCTAGCCCTAAACCCTAGTGCCCAAACCCTAGGCCCTAAACCCTAGTGCCAAACCCTAGGCCCTAAACCCTAGTGCCCAAACCCTAGGCCCTAAACCCTAGTGCCCAAACCCTAGGCCCTAAACCCTAGTGCCGAAACCCTAGGCCCTAAACCCTAGCGCCCAAACCCTAGCCCTAAACCCTAGTGCCCAAACCCTAGGCCCTAAACCCTAGTGCCCAAACCCTAGGCCCTAAACCCTAGTGCCCAAACCCTAGGCCCTAAACCCTAGTGCCCAAACCCTAGGCCCTAAACCCTAGTGCCCAAACCCTAGGGGGACCCAACCGCCACGAGTTTTGATCAAGAGTTTTGATCAAGAGCCACGAGTTTTGATCAAGAGCCACGAGTTTTGATCAAGAGCCACGAGTTTTGATCAAGAGCCACGAGTTTTGATCAAGAGCCACGAGTTTTGATCAAGAGCCACGAGTTTTGATCAAGAGCCACGAGTTTTGATCAAGAGCCACGAGTTTTGATCAAGAGCCACGAGTTTTGATCAAGAGCCACGAGTTTTGATCAAGAGCCACGAGTTTTGATCAAGAGCCACGAAGACTATAAGGTTTAAATTACTATGGTAGTTAGGGTTTAGGTTTAGGGTTACTAGGGTTTAGGGTTTAGGGTTTAGGTTAGGGTTTAGGGTTTAGGGTTTAGGGTTTAGGGTTTAGGGTTTAGGGTTTAGGGTTTAGGGTTTAGGGTTTACGCAAGGCACAGCAGTCGTTGCCACCCCGCTTGGGCGCCCAATTCCGATGAGAGTTGTTTCGGTTTCGGAGTGCGCAGGAGAGCTTCGGAGACTGGGGCCTTGGGTCGGCCGCTCCAGTTTTTCTTTTCCCACCCGCGCCCATAAAGGGCGGCTCCCACCCTTAACCAGCTCCGCCTTTTAGGGTTTAGTTTCCTAAACTCTTTTTTTCTTTCGGATGGTATTTTCTTTCGCAAGGTACGAGAAGCGAGTTCTGCAGCAATGCATGCGGTCGTATAAGACGCGAGTGCTGCAGCAATGCATGCATTCTAAGGGTGAGTATCTTAAATTTTTTTGTTTGAGGGTACATGACGGCTGGCTTACAGGAGTCAGAAGGCTATGCTAAAGCATAGAAATTACGATTTGTCCGAGGTTAAACCAAAAATCCACGAATTAAGCCCTTATTAAAGCCATATTAAGCCCTTATTATGGCCATATTAAGCCCATATTATGGCCATATTAAGCCCTTATTATGGGCATATTAAGGCCATATTAAGCCCTTATTATGGCCATATTAAGCCCTTATCAAGGCCATATTAAGCCCTTATTAAGGCCATATTAAGCCCTTTTTATGGCCATATTAAGCCCTTATTATGGCCATATTAAGCCCCTATTAAAACCATATTATGCGTCACTCAGAACCTGGTGACCGTCACTCAGAACTGGGTGGCGTCACTCAGATCTCGGTGACACGTCCATTTCGGGGCTGCCTTTTTGCCTGCCGCAATTCCGCGCGTGCTAATTTTCATAGGCAAATACCTAGGTTTTTGGGCTTGATTTTGGCCTCGCTGCCTTTTTCGTCCAATTTTTGACAACAGAAAAAACGTAAAATTAACGATTTCGATAGGAATATGTCAACCGTAGAATTCTGAGAGCAAAAACCCAAGCATTTTGAAGCTTTTTTTGTTGGCTCACAGCTTTCCGTAATAGATTGCACGGATTGTCGGTTTTCGGTAATGTAAAAATGCGTTTCGCGCGTTCCTTTAGGTAAAGTGAAAACGTTGCCGAGGCACCAAAGCCGTGGAAAAAAAACAGTAAAAATTGCGCACTGGTTTTCGCAATCTAAAAACATTTTTTTAATTCCTTAAAGTAAGTTGATGAAAGTATGGAAGCGAGCACGGGGAGGAATCAGATAGACACAAAAAAACACTTGTTTGGTTTTGTTCAATCAAAGAAAATAATAGTTAGCAGTACTAGTACTAGTAGTAGTAGATGTATATGTATACATATATATCATATAGGTGTGTTTATACATATATAGGTATATCTTTATATCCACGCAGGTAGATATGCATGTTTATCGGTGTATCTGTACACATACGTAATGTATATATAAATATAGACTTATGAATACATATATGACATATTTGACATATGCTATATGTACTCTAATTACGGTCCGTCCGGGGGGCCCCCCCGGATCCTCGGGACCCCCCCGGACCCCCCCGGACCCCCCCGGACCGGGGGGCGCCCCCGGACACCCCCGGACAAGATGTACGCAAGTGGCCGGGGGGCCCCCCCGGACCCCCCCCGGACACCCCCCGGACACCCCCAGACCCCCCCCGGACGAATCGTCGACGACCACGCAAAGGAGATTGCACAGTTGTGCAAAGTATAGCGAAATGCCTATGTTTCGTAGCAAATCTGAAAAAAACGTCCACCGTAAAATGTCGGATTTTTGGCGTTGCCTTTGCTTGCCCTCGGGCACGGCCGGGCGTGCATTTGCCGCCACGATAGGCGTTTCCCTATGTTTTGAGTGGATGCACGCAACGTGGCTGCGCGGACCCCGCGCGTCCAGAACGGCGCCGCAGCACGCAAACGGCAAAGTACCGGGCAAGGCGTGCCTCCATTTCGCACGTTCCTTTAAGGTAGAGGAGGACCCGCGAAGGCAAGTACTCGCCACCTTGTACTTTGTGAGGCTCTCCACACTAAGGTCCGAGACTGCTAGGAATCCCTCCGAGACCGTCAGGTGGCGCTGACGGCTCGGGGGGAACCAGGCCTGGGTAATTTTGCTTTTTTTGTGCTTCCGTAGAACCAACCAGTACCGGTAGCGACAGCACCTGTTGTTGTTGTTGCTGTAGCACGGGTAGGAAACGGAAAAACAATGAAACATACTTATCTAGCTTTTGTTCAATCAATGAAGCTAACAGTTAGTAGTAAGTATAACAGTAGTAGTAGTAGTAGTAGTAGTAGTAGTAGTAGTAGTAGTAGTAGTAGTAGTAGTAGTAGTAGTAGTAGTAGTAGTAGTAGTAGTAGTAGCAATAATAATAATAGTAGCAGTAATAGTAGTCGTCGTCGTGGTAGTAGTAGTGGTAGTAGAAGCAGGCGCGGGCCGCCGCACATGCCCCCGTTGAGTTTCTCGCCGCGTTCCGAGGTACAGTCCGCACACTGCAGCTGCTGCACCCAGCAAGTCTGTTCGGAAAAAGCGAAGAAGCCTCGTCGGTCTGTGCACGCCACACTTGTCCCTAGTACCCGGCCGGTGCCATGGCGCGTTGCACTCGACAGCACGTCTTGCTGGAGGCTCAAGTCACGTATCACCATCCAAATTCGAAATCCTCTGTAGCACACTCAGCATGGAGAACCGGCCCGGACCTCAGAGGTCAATTGATCCTTAATTGCGGTGCCAAGCCTTGAATACCAGCAGAGTCAAGACATTTCCAGGACAGATGTTGCCATGTCAGAGATGCTCGAGGACGGCCGGGCAAGTCCGCCGAACATGTCCGTTCTCGGTGCAGCGACAGGAGGACACTGGCTCCGACATGTTGGCATGGCGCGAGACCCAGCGAAAACGATCATATATGGTAGCCTGGCAGCCGACCTGAGACACGCTTGCAACAACCCTTGCAACAATGAGGGGCGTGGAGAACGCCCGCGCAAGCAAGTCTCGGAGGTCCATTGGGTTGTCATCCGTCTAAAAGATAACAATACCAAAAGCTAAGCGAGCAGTTGGTTTGCAATGCACAGGATAGAAGGTCCAGAAGACAGTGACATCCGCGAGAATGTGCCTGGATCCGAGAAGCGGCGATTCCCGCCAGCGCAGCAACCGATCGCAAGACGATCCACTCGATGCGTGAGGATCGACGTGCACATGTCAGAAACGCAAGAGGACCGTGGCCGCGGGACCGCTCTGACCATCTCCATTTCTAAGCACTTCTGTAATCTCAGGAGGAAGAGAGTGGCTCCGATACGTCTGCGTGGCGCGAGACTCAGCAAGAAGCCAGCGCTGGGCAGCCTACAGCCGATGTGCTTGAAACAACAAGGGGCGTGGAAGACATCTACGCAAGCAAGTCGGAAGCTCAACTGCGACCGCCTGCATGGAGTCGCGCTTGCATTCAGCCTCTTCCTGCCAAGGTGCTCCCCAGATCCGGGTCAGCTCGAGATCACTGCCCGTCTATACCATGACTCTTGCCATCGACCGGAAGTTTTCCAGCAGCGTCTGCAGGAGATCGAGGCTATTTTTGGCAGCGACGAGCTGGCCGAGCAGCAGCGTTTACTCGACGAGTATGCTGGAAGAGAGGCCGACGCAGTGCAGCCCTTGGAACCAAGCGTGGTGGACGACGCCCAAGTCGAAGTTCCCGAAACAACACCGACGCCACGTTGGGCTCTGACTATCCAACCGCACTGGTGCGATAAGATACTGAACGGCAGCAAAGTCTGGGAGATCAGAGGCCAGAATTGCGTAAAGCATCTGGGTGACAGGATTTGCATCGCCAAGTCGGGGTCAAGGATGCTGGTCGGAGAGGCGACGATCTCGAAGAGCATGAAACTGACAAGGGCAGAGCTCGAAGCCAACGTGCATCTTCACGGAATCCAAGATCTCTCCGCCGTGCAGTACACCAACCTCTATGCTTGGGTACTCGAGGAAGTGAAAGCTTACGAGGAGCCGTTACCTTACGGCAAAGCACCAAGAAGCGGCTGGGTGGATCTTCAGCCTCCACCTCCTCAGCCTCGCCACACGGAGTGTCGCAATCCAGATTGCCGTTTCGGCCTTACCAAGCGAAGCACTCGCGGCAAGCCTTACACCAGGGTCAAGGACAGTATCAGTTTCGAGCACTGCGTGTTCTGTTCCGCGGAGGCCTTCCAGTCAGCACTTGAGGAGCGAGACGGACGGCAGATCAGGATGGCTGGGCCAGTTGGCGAAGGCTAAGGACGGACGGCATGACCAGGCGCTGCAGCGCATTCGGGATATGCATGGTGCACAGATGGCCGAGCGATTCAGTCAAAAGCCACGCGCGCGGGCACCCAAGCCTCGCAGTGAATGGAAGAGCTCGCTCGCATTCCGGCAGCCTGCGCTGCAAGCTTCTCGCGCGACTCGACAGGCTTTCGACGCCCAGCAGCACCGACACAAGACGCTCTTGCAGAACAAGTTTCCAGCAGTTTACAGAGAGGGTGCTCGAGAGAGGACACTCTGGATGCCTCCTCGTGCTGCGGCATTTGAGAAGTGGTGCCTCGATGACTCGTGGCGTATGTGCAGCGGCTGCGGCCGCATGGTACCCCAACCATTCCGTGCCACGCATGCCGCCGGCAAAGCCAGTGCCGCTTCCGAGCTGCCTGCCTGCGGGTATTGCAAGTCTGGCGGATCCACCGGGTATTGGGCCCCAACTCCTGCGGACATCCCGAGGCGCCTGCGCAAGTTGTCGTCGCAAGTAGTCGAAGCTTTAAGACCCTTCGACATGCACACCGGCGGAGTGTTTCGACCTCCAAGCGGTTACCTGGTACACAACGACATGATGCGGTTCTCATTCAAAACATCATCAGTGGAGGAAAATCTCGCCAAGCTTCCAAAGAAGCAGCGCGAGCGCGGCCAGAAAGCGCTGGAATACCTGCTGCGCGAAGACTGCCCTTCGTACTACGGCCGATTCTGGCAGCTTCACCAACGCAGCCTTCGCAAGCGGGCGAGAGCAATGGCGCGCGGAGAGATGTGGTCCGGCACCCCGGCGAAGCGCTTGCCAACGAACTTCATCGAGACGGTCGGCTTGGAGTGCGCCCTGTGGCCACATATGTACTGGTGCGCGGAGATGACGGAGACCTACGTGCGATCGCAAGATGCCCGACGACTGCAACGCCGTCATAGACAGCAAATGGAAGACAGCGACGAAGACCAAGACTTGTTCGGAGCCGCGCCCGGCAAGGCATCGCGACAAAGTGCCAAAGCGAGCTACCTGGCGAAAGCTCACTCGGCGGTGATCGGCTACAGCTCAGACTCCCAGCTCCTCCACTTCGTGTACGACCTGTGGCTCTACACGACCATCGGCGGTGCCAAAAACAGCGCCGGCACCAGCAGCGTGCGCGAAGCCTTAGCGACAAAGCCGTACTCGCCAGAGATATGGCGCACCTACCACACGGCCTTGGTGGACCTGCAGAAGCAGGTAGGGTGGCCCAGCCTCTTCATCACCATCGCCCCGTACGAATGGTCGTTCCCCTACCATCAGTGGCTGCAAGACGAGCTCACGAAGTCCCTGAGCGCCAGACTCGACATGCCCGTTGCGGAGACACTGCACTTGGCGCATGTCCTCACCCAGGCGGTCAAAGGTCTTCTCACCGGGGCCAACGAAGGGCTGCAGTCCAAACGAGAGCACATCTTCTGTTCCGCAAATGGACCAGGGAAAGTTCGGCACTGGGTGGCCAGGCTGGAGTTTCAAGATGGGAAGCGCAAACGCAACGTTTTTAGACACGGTCAGTTCTACCACGGGCGAGGAGCCGTCCATGTGCACATACTTCTCTGGTTGAAGGACATGCAAGCCATGGACTTGTCCTCCAAAATCCGTGCCGATGTGCCCGGGGAAGACGAGCAGGAGATGCGCGACCTCGTGGTGGGCTCACAACTGGACTACACGTCGAGCGGATGGCCCGTTCGCGAAGAGCCCACAGAAGTGATCGAGAAGGAGCAGCGACTGCGACTGCACCACCCGCGAGCAGCTTTCGAAAGAAGATGTCGCGCCTACCTCCCAGACGTACTAGCTGCTCTTCGCTGTCATGTAGATGTGCAGGCATCGGACGGCCGAGCCATGGTGCTGAAGTACTGCGCAAGTATCTCGTGAGCTTAATTGATCAACTTTTTCCAATGTACATATTACTTCTATCACTTGCACATTCGACATACCACGAAGTCGCGAAAGTGAAACTAGCAGGCTACCTGCCCAAGTTCAGTAGCTCCTTCGCGGCGGAGATGCTCAACAATGAGGCGACCGATTTCTCTTTAGCAAGGCGAGTTCTGGCTGACTACCATCCGCTCCAGCCGGAGATGATCATGCAGCTCGCGGCACAGCAGCATCCACAATTTGTGTGTCCGGCGAACGTGCGCAAGTTCGTCGTTCCGGTTCCCTGGCAGAAAGACCCGCCGCAGATCGTGCAGAGCTACATGTCGAGCACCTGGAGGCGGGACAACATGAGCCTCCTCGACTTTCTGCGGAAGTCGGGATCTGACGGGCAGATCTCGCAAAAGTATCGCCGCGTGCACCGTGCGCGCAAGATTGACATGCCCCTCAAAGATTGGATCAACGTTCACCCGGCAGACGGCCAGACTCTCGTCGCCAGCATCATGTATTCTCATACCAACGATCGGCACTACGGCCAGTGGCTCCTGCTCAATGTGCCCTTCCGCAACATCGACGACCTCTGGCACCCGCAGGTGGAGCTCCTACCAGAGAATCTGCGATACCTGGGCCTGTGCGTCCTGCATCGCCGTCGTTTCTGGCGAGATCCGGTCAAGATCCGGTCAGAGCTGGAAAAGGAAGCGCGAAACGACTTGTACATCCAAAATACACTCGCCATGCTGACCGCCAGGATCGAGCTCATCGACGCCTACCTTTCCGGGGACATGACGGTCGAAAGAGAGGCGGCCCCTCCGCTGGACGGCGTTGCACGGGTGGCCCATGCAGAAGTTCGAGTAGCACCGGAGCAAGCGACAGTGATAAACGTCGTCGGTCGTCGAGTACAACATGCAATGGTAACCAAGTGGCCGGAGGATCGGGAAGTCGAGGGCTGGGCCACTTGGTTGGAACAGGACGTCGCCGCGAATAGTGTGACCGTCGTACTCGGACCGGCCGGCAGCGGAAAAAGCACGGCAGTGGAAATCGCATTGGACCGAGCTGTTCAAGCAGGTGCTCACGTCGGAGTTGCGTGTCCGACAGGCATGCTGGCAACCCGGTACAGAGCACGTCATCCGGATCTGGACATTGACACCGTGCATGGCATGTTCGCGCTGCACAAAGACGAACTCCAAACGGCCGACATGATGAAGATCTATGACATGCTCGTGATCGACGAAGTCGGCCAGCTGCCGGAGTGGATTTTCGAAAGGTTGTTGCGACTGTGGGACGCCGCCGACCGTCGGACTGCCCTTGTGTTCGTGGGTGACTTCTGTCAGCTCTTAGGACCGGACGGCACCACGGCGAGAGACAGCTTCAGGTGGCGAGACATGCACGTCCTGTACCTGCACGAGATGCGTCGCTGTAAGTGCGAGAAACTCAAGTGGAAGCTGGAGCTGCTGCGAAATACCCTGCCCAGTGGAAAACAATTGAAGAAGATTCTGAGAGGCCACCGTGCAAATCTTCGAAGTCGATCCGGCGTCAGTCATGATCTCAATTCAGAGGACATCGCCACCATCCTGCAGGAAACCCCCCGGACGACCTTCATCACCATCACCCGTCGAGGATCCGCCCGACTCAACCAGCTCGCCATGCGTGCCCTCTTCGTGGACGCGGAAATGCTCGACCGCATACCGTGTGATCCACAGGAGAACTTCGAGAATTTCCGAGGCGCAGCGCAGGTGGCGGCAGAACCTTTCTGGATGCCGGTCTATCAGGGCATGCGCGTGGTCATCACCAGGAACACGGACAAGGAGAATGGCTTCGTCAATGGAATGGGAGCAACGGTGCAGCGCATGAGGCGAAGCGGCGTGCAGGTGAGGACGGACGCCGGGAAGGTTCTCTTGATTCACCCCGTGACTCACGAATGCCAGCTCTGCGATGGATCCAACAGCAGAACGACGGCCTTTCCACTGCGGCCGGGCTACAGCACCACCCTGCATAAGATTCAGGGTGCCACTCTGCCGCACGTCACCCTGTGGATGGATGTTCCTTTCGTGCGCGCAGCTCTCTATGTGGCCCTCTCACGAGTTCAATACGATCGTGACTGGCGTTTCATAGGGTCCATAGACAGGCGACATTGCCTGCCTGCGCGCCTCTAAGGCCATTTTTAGGCTGGCAGCACACAGCGCTGCCGGAAAGTGTGGCGGTTCTAGACGAATCGTTGACGCATCTGCGTGCCAATCTTGCGGCTACGGAGCGGATGAATTCCCCGTAGCCCCAGCAAACACACCCCTGAGCATTCGCGCAAAAAGAGAGTCGAGTGCTGGCGATTGTTGAGGTCTCCGTGTGGCCTTTGGGATTAAGCGCTAAACCCTATTCCTAAACACTAAGCTTTAGGATTTAGCGCTAAACCCTATTCCTAAACACTAAAGCTTTAGGATTTAGCGCTAAACCCTATTCCTAAACACTAAAGCTTTAGGATTTAGCGCTAAACCCTATTCCTAAACACTAAAGCTTTAGGATTTAGCGCTATAAACCCTATTCCTAAACACTAAAGCTTTAGGATTTAGCGCTAAGCCCTATTCCTAAACACTAAAGCTTTAGGATTTAGCGCTAAACCCTATTCCTAAACACTAAAGCTTTAGGATTTAGCGCTAAACCCTATTCCTAAACACTAAAGCTTTAAGATTTAGCGCTAAACCATATTCCTAAACACTAAAGCTTTAGGATTTA